AGTTTGGCCAAACATGTGGGTTCTTTTTTTTTTTTTTTTTTGTACAGTGGAATATATTAATCAAAGAGTTAAAGCAGATGATATTGCTTTTTCCCCCTTTAGGTGAATTAATTTACTCTGTACTTTTTTTCCACATTGTCTTTTAGTTCTTTGGTGAAGCTCTCCTACGGTTGTGAGGGGACGTTTATGAAGGTTTGCGCTGAAAGTAGAGACTCTACTAGCGCACGCCCGATGTTCTGCGTTCCCCTCACCGTGCCCCTCGGAGATGCACCACCTACAGATGCTGGTGTGGGATCTACGGCAACAACAGTGGCCATATAATTATGATTGCATCCCATCTCTTGTGCGATAACCATTTGGTTCAGGTCAGGATATATGTTCACAATGACTCCAATTTTCATTTTAGTTCAGTTAGCTCAGTCAACAGAATTTATGATGGCATGTTTTACTTTCACATCCTACTGCACTGCTAACTCTTGGTCTTTGTTTTAATTAATAAGTAGATATGAGAAGCTCCTAACTTATACACCCAACCCCCATCATGATAATTTAACAACTAAGTAACATTAATTATATTTCTGAGCTCTGGATTTTATATTGCTTTGTATAGCTTAAAATGTTTACTAAAAGGAAAATAAAATGGAATAAAACTAAATATTGTTGTTCTTTGTTAGGGGAACAGACTTGCAAATGCGTTTTACAGTCTTAAAACATTTGGGAAAAAATGAGAAAATTACAAGAGTAACATATTTTTGCAATTAAGGTTTGAAATAATACTTTACCATTAGAAAATGACTCCTTTCTTTTTATTAAACATGCTGTGAAATATCATTGTTCAGCCATTTGTCCTGCAATGTCATTAACCTAGTCAAGAATTTAGTTTATTCTGGTCTTACCCAGATCACTTCAGGTAAAGAGTCTTATGTGCTTATCACCATCTAGAATCCAACTGTGAAATGAGATTTACAGTCAATGTGTTTTGTCTAATGAAGTCTTTATCTTATTTTGGTTATTGAAATGCACAATTTTCACTGTACAAAAAGATTCAGCTTAAAGTCTGCGTGAACCGGAAGTTGCTGCTGACTTTATTTCAGTGTAGTGACGTATTTCCAGCTGAAACGGAATATTGAATAGAGGGCGTGGTTTTACTTTTGCACTCCTCCTCTGTCTCTTACTCGTAGCAATCTAACGGTTAGAGGGGTGAATGCCATTTCAGAGCGGAAGCAAATGTTCCGATTTTGATTAAAGATAACCAAGACAAACTATTTTTTTTTTCAGCGGATTAACTTGCACTGATTAATTGTTCACATCGAGACTAGCAATGTGCGGTAATAAAGTAAAAAGTCCATTTTGATTTCATGCAGACTTTAAATGCTTTTCAACATGGAGTTATATTTCTGTAATTGGAATAAAAAGAACTTGATTATATTGCAGTACCTAGAATTTTTGATAATGTTACATGTAAAATTACACGCAATATGTTGGGTACTAGTAAAACATTTAGGTCAGTTTGTGTAATGTTGATTAGGTTAAGATAATGCTGTAAATTCTCTCTTAAAAAGGACTAGTCTAGACCTAGGCTTAAGGCCTGTCCACACCAAGGATAATAACTATAAAGTTAAATGTCTTTTTAATTCTATGAGAATAGCGACAGTCCACACCACAGCTATAACAATAGTGCCACAGAGGAACAATATAGTTAAATTCATTTTCGGAACTATTTTTTCCAGCTAATGAATGGTAAAAACAGACAGGCAAACCGGCAGGCAACAAAACTACAGCGTACGCTTATAATAAAAAGAATCTTATAAAACGGATAGTTCCGGTCCTTGATTCTGATTGGTTGAGCCGCGTTCGAAGCTGTTGTAAATTACAAACATTCACCTTTGTTTTCTTTGTGTGTTGCTTGGCAACCACTTTGTTGCAACCACAACTGTTTCTGAGCAACTGTTTGGTGGAAGAATACTGTTTTTATTAATATCATTACACTTTATTTGCTCTGTTTTATTTTGTGAAACTTAACTACGTATATGGAATAACCGTTTTATAAAAGCAATAAGCCCCGTGAATAAATTCACTGTAAATGGGGCTTATTGCTTTATCGTTCCTATCGGTATAGTTACTGTTACAGGTGTGAATCAGCCTTTATTATCTGATTGCGAAGCGAACCTTAAAGGGATAGTCCATCCAAAAATGAAAATTCATTGTTTCCTCACCCAAATGCCATTGCAGATGTACATTACTTTTTCTTTCTTCATATGAACACACAAAAAAATTTTTTCAATGTTTGTAAGTCCATATAATGCAAGTAATTGAGTGCCCAAATATTGACACTTGAAAAAAAACACAGCCGTCATGACAATAATCCATACAACCCCAATAGATAAATCAACGTCTTCTGAAGCGAAATCATAGGTGTGTGTATGAAAGACTTTAACTATAAATAATCGCTTATGGCCAGCTTTTGTATGCATATCCACTCTTAATTACTGTTGCATCATGTTTTTACGCAGTAAAGAAATACATCGCGGAGCAAAGAGGACACTGACAACACGACGACAGACAAGAAGGTTACTTTTGGAATAAAACGAAGTCTTTACATTTTTTTTTTTTTTTTTAGAAATTCAAACAATAAATACCATTTTGTTGCTTTTTAATGTGTCGTGACAGATTGCTGTAGCGCCTCAGTTCAAGCGGCACGTGAGCCGATCATCTCTTCTTCTTTACTAGTTATAGCACAAAATAAACATGAATGAACATCAAAGGTAACTTGTTTCAACCACGGAAAGATGTCAGTTCACAACATTTTTCATGTTCAAGTCCACTGATGTTAACTACTGTCCTGTCTGGTTTGTTTGTCAGACAAACTGGCAGATTCAGCGTTCTGACTGGCCAGATCACCTGTCAATCAACCTCTCTGCGAAGTGTGAATTCCTTGGGAGGTGACAATTTTGTATGAATTTGTACATTGTGAGTGTTTTACAACATAACTCTCACTGGGGCAGACCATACGAAAACGTATGAATGAGCCATAACATAAAATAGTTATGATTCGCCATGAGATTGTTTTGGAAGTTAGTATGAGGGCGAAAGAGTTCCCTATGCAGATAGGGAATGTAGTTGGTTGCGTGAATTTGCCACACTGACCGCAACAGAAAGCTGCTGTGTTTGAAAGTCACTTCTGTCTGAGCAGTACTTCATACACTGCTAAAATATTGACAAGGGACATCGGAACTTTTTTCTACAAAAATTCGCACCTTTAGTCAAGTGAAATTCCTCCAGTATGTTTTGTATACTAATTTTAAGCATGTCAGTTCATGGACAGGCCTGCAGACAGTGCTGGATAAAGGCCTTGTCTGGCTCTTCCATTTGTACTCTGTGGCTTAAACTCCTCAACCTTCGGACCAGCGAGTGGAGGAAAGGTGGAGGTCTGACCCGCAGGTGTGTTGGGCTGGATGGGAAGGCTTGGCACTGCTGTAACCGTATCAGAGCCATGTGAAGGCCAACCCTGCATGCCAGAAGTACCAGTTCCTCTTTACACATGAGGACTTGAGGAGGTATGTTGTGTTCTTTGGACTATAAGCAAAGACATGGCAGACACAACATTTAGCTGGACTGGTTTGAGTTGAGTAGTACGTGTGACGGATCAAGAAAATGTCTTTAAAATTGGAGATCAAATTAAAAAGACTTTCTTACCAGCTCACAGCTGCCTACTCTGAATCTGGCTTGCTGTCCAGAAGCAAGGAATGACACAAACACCAACTGTTGACCAAGAACTCGTACCCCTATATTTCTGTTGAGCGACAGAAAGAGTGGTCTCAGGGGTGTTGGTGTTTGAGCCTTGTCTGTCCAGCTCCATGTTCTGATCCTTCTCCCGCCTTCATCTAGACTCCGTCCACCCCAAGCATCCATACTCAACCTGCTCCACAGGAAACGAGCCACGCAGTTATGTCATTTGTATTTTTGCTGTTCGATTAACTGAGATACTTTTAACCTGAGGTATTATTAGTTTAACTTATATAACTTAAAGAGATAGTTCACCCAAAAATGTCAATTCTGACAATTTTCTTACCCTCGTGTTGTTTCAAACCAACATTTCATGTTGTTCATCTTCAGAACACAAAGATATTTTTATTGATTTATTAAAGATACTATTGATATTCTCTTATCTACTTTGTCCATCCATTGACACCCAACGAATCCAAAACCTTTACACTTTAAAAAGTACAATAACATTTGACCATGTTTGAGCTTCTGTTTCCTATATTTGATGTGCTCTATGGATGTGCATTGATCAATGTTGAATAAATACCTAAATTAAATATCTTATAAAATGATAATGTCTCTTTAGAAGACTTGAATTCTACCACTTGATTCATAAGGATTATAATTACAGAGTCTTTTTGAAAAATGTGAATCGTCAATATTCTGGTTGCTTGGACTTTGTCAAAAGTTTCATTCACTGAAGCACTGCCTATTTTCTATTTTCATTTCGAAAATCACCTTAAGTCTCATAGGTTTGGGATGACATGAGGTCATTAAATGAATTTGAAGTTAAAAATGTATTTGGGGTATGAAGAAATGAGCATTAGCACTAGATTAATAAATGCTATATATGTTAAAATGAAATGGCTTAATGTTGCTATGCTTAGATTCTGGGCTCATCTGTCTATCTTTTGAATGCAAATCTGTTTGTGTGTAGACAGGTTTTAACAAAAAAAATATTAAAACAAAAATCGTAACAAATTAATAGTATTCTCTGCATTATTGGCTGTAATAGAAGAAAAAACATCTTTGATTGTGTTTCTGAACAGATCCGAACATTTTATCATCAATTACTCATGTGACTTTAAACCTGTATGACTTGCTTTCTCAGAAGATATTTTGAAGAATGTTGGTAACCGAACAGTAAGCGAAACATTTCTCAAAATATGTTCTTTTATATTCCACAGACGAAAGAAAAACCTACAGGTTTGAAATGACATGAGGGTGAGTAAATCTTGACAAAATGTCCATATTGAACTACCTCTTTAAACGCTTCAGACTGTCCCCTCCTCAGATCAATAATCAGTCAGCTTGAGACATTGAGATCTGTGTCAGTGTAATAGCAATCGACCCTACCAAATGCTGCCGTTGCTATGGTAACAAGTGGCTCTGCCATTAGACTGAAAGAGGGCTCGGACTGGACAGAGAGGAGTCGGCATGTCATCATGTATGATACAGATCCTTTCCTTCTTGCTGCTGAGAATGATGAGAGCCAGGTTTCCTGAGGGATAGCTGTAGCCATGATAATAAGGACAAACAACAGCAATACGTAATAGACTAAATCCATTTTCAAATTACTTCAAAATCATCTATAGTTTTTTAATGATTCATTGCACCACTCTCTTGCCCTTATACGTGTACACTTTAAAACATACTTTTAGTTTGTGTTTTCTGTCTCTTAATGAAATTTAAAGTCACAGACAATCCTAGAAATTAATAATTACTTTTTATTTATTTGAAGTTTGCATATGTTTTTTGTTGTGTATCATATTTGATACATCAGGTTATGTCTCATATAGTATTATATGGGAAAAAACATCAGAATTTTATTCAGAGGCCCAAATTGAAAAAAAAACAAAAAAAACTAAAAGAGAAAGAAAAATAGCAATTTTGTGCAGTTGCTAATATTTACAAGATCAAAATTAAGGTGCAAATCTGATCTGATCTTGTCTTTATAAGGGTATAGCAGATTTCTTGCATAAAATGAAAATAAATATCAGCTGTCACTCTATATCTCCAAATAATATGTCTTATTAAGATGATATTTAAATGCTTGCTTACAGTGCCGTGAAAAGGGTTTTGCAGGGTTTTTTTTTTTTTTTTGCATATTTGTCACACTTAAAAGATTCACATCAAACTAATTTTTATATTACACAAAGATAAATACAAAATGCAGAGTAAATACAAAATGCAGCTTTGAAATAATGATTTCATTTATTAAGGGAAAAAAGCTGTCCAAACCTGCCTGGCCATACGTGAAAAAGTAATTGCCCCCTAAACCTAATAACTGGTTGTGCCACCCTTTGCAGCAACAACTGAATTTTGGCCCACTCTTCTTTGCAGAATTGTTTTAATTCAGCCACATTGGAGGGTTTTCGAGCATGAATGGACTTGTTTAAGGTCATGCCACAGCATCTCAATCAGATTTAAGTCCGGACTTTGACTTGGCCACGCCAAAACTTTAATTACATTTTCCTTGAGCCATTCAGAGGTGGACTTGCTGGTGTGTTTGGGATCATTGTCCTGCTGCATAACCAAAGTGCGCTTGAGCTTGAGGTCACAAACTGATGGCCGGACATTCTCCTTCAGGATTTTCTGATAGAGTGCAGAATTCATGGTTCCATCAATTATGGCAAGTCATCCAGGTCCTGAAGATGCAAAACAGCCCGAGACCATCACACTACCACGACCACCATGTTTGACTGTTGGTATGATGTTCTTTTTATGAAATGCTGTGTTGGTTTTACGCCAGATGTAACGGTACACACACCTTCCAAAAAGTTAAACTTTTGTCTCATAATTTAAATGGGGAGTCATCTCAATTATCACCAGTAAAATATGGAGTGCCACAAGGATCTGTCCTAGGTCCTCTGCTATTTTCGATATACATGTTGCCCCTTGGTAATATTATTAAAAAATACGGGATTAGTTTCCACTGTTATGCCGATGATACTCA